ATGACGTCACGTCACGTTCACCGTGCTGTTTCCTCCGGACACATTTCAATTCCCTATTGGGGAATAGGGAATAGGGAATTTCCGGAGGAAACAGCACGGTGAACGTGACGTGACGTCATCTCTACGCTTGCGCATTGCGAGCAAAGGTTAATCTCTACCTTTCTCTCTCGCACCCAACTTGGACACAGATCTTTTCCACGGGAAGTATAGGGCATTCCCCTTCCAGGTATATATGTTCTAAGGCATTGAGCATGGAAAGCTTGGGGATCGTTCCGTTTCACTCCATGCGCAGTTCATGCTCGCATGAAAACGGTCTCCCACCATCAGTGAACTCTATACATACTGGAATGAGTGATCTCTAGTTCTGGCTGTTGCCGAGAGAGAGGTGCGTTGGGTGAATCCTTGTCTCCTTCTAGTACTACCTGATTGGATAATCGCATATAAATGACGTCCTTCTTCTCGTCATTTATGTGCGACTATCCAATCAGGTAGTACTAGAAGGAGACAAGGATTCACCCAAACGCACCTCTCTCTCGGCAACAGCCAGAACAATAGATCACTCATTCCAGTATGTATAGAGTTCACTGCCCACCATGGGTGCGTTCCGAGTTGCGCATCTTCTTCTTCTTCTTCTTCTTCTTTCCTATATGGCTCCCGGCTCATCCGCTGAGCCGACACGGCCACGTCGAACCAATAGTCCTCCAAATTGTAAGTCCCCACACTATCGCCCTCTCGCGACTTTACACTGAACCGGGCCGCCCATCAAGACTGGGGCGGGAAATTCAAGGAAGCATTTCAGCGGACTTAAAGGCCGCCAACAGTAATCGGCATAATTTGTGACAGGGGTCGTGGAGCAAATTAAGGATGTCAGGAGGGGATCCCAAGGAGTCAGCAAATGTGGAACGTAGGTAACTGTTGAGGTTTTGCATCTTTGTACAGAAGGAGGGACAATCAAAAATGACGTGATTCAGGTCTTGCGTATCGAAACCACAAATACAGTTAGGGGAAGACACAATATTTTTCCTAAAGAGACTATGGTTTAAATTATAATGGTTACTTCTGAGACGATTAATGAGTACCACCAGATCTCTTTTAAGTCTAACCTTGTGAAACTAAGGCTTAGGAGACATGTTATGAAATTTTTCAAAGTTGAGAGTACCTTTGGACTCAGCACAAATTTTGAAATAGTTCTCGGAGGAATTCCTGAGATCACTTCTGGATTCTGCCAGAAAGTCAGTGTAAGGAAGTAGACATCCAGGGGATACTTCTCCTCCCGTTACAGTCGCTCTTTTTGCCAATGCATCCGCCATTTCATTCCCGGGAATGCCCCGGTGAGCCGGAACCCATATCAGGTTGACAGCAATTCCCGAGGATTTGAATAGGTATACCTGTTCTCTGATTTTGGAAATGATAAAGTTTGCAGGAAAAGGATTGAAGGAGCACACGGCCTCTAGGACGCTCTTGGAATCGGAAAAGATCGTGATCCTACCAAACCTACCACCCCTTTCTCGGGCAATATCAAAAGCCGTCATAATGGCCCAAGCCTCCGCAGTAAATATTGAAGCCTCGCGGGGAATCCCCTTGGAGATACCTATGTCGATTTCTGGAGAAAATATTCCTACACCGACCATCGCCCCAGTTTCCGATTTAGATCCATCCGTGTAAAAAGTAAGAGCTTCTGCACGATATTCTGCAGAAAGTTCCTCGAAGAGCAGCGTCGTTTCACGTTTGCCTAGATAGAGTTGCCGGGATGTCTAATCTATGGAAGATCAAATTATTAATCAGAGATTCGTATCTAGTTTCGAAATAGGGAAGGGAGGGGGACCTCCTAATAGATCCGCCGTCTTCCCTACATTTAATGTAAGCCCTGAAGGATGGAAGATTGTCCAAGAGCCATACCCTTTTTATTATGGAGGAAGTAGATTCCGCGATATCCACTAAAGAATTGATGACCAAACTCTCCGAGTTGGCTACGTTTTTGTAAATGAATCTGGAGTTCAAAAAATCCAATCGGCGCATAAAAGGAGGTTCTCTTGCTTCATCGAACATGGTGTTAATGGGGGTGGAGAGGCGATATCCCATGGCTGTTCTAATCGCTTTATATTGGATTCTATATAGTTTGATTAATCTACTCGAATTGCCTCTAGTGAAGAAAACCTGATGACCGTACTCCATGACACTTCGGAGGGTAGACCTGTACAGGGTAAGAAGAGTGGAAGGATGAGCCCCCCACCATACCCCCGCAAGAGAGGTGATTACATTGCAGATCGCTCTACATTTGCGGGTGACCCCCTCAATATGAGGACCACCCGATAACCTCGAGTCAAGAATAATGCCCAGGAACCTTGCTTGTTCAACCTGCCGAATAGGTTCGACTCCTAGCAAGACCGGCGAACACGGCTCGCGTGACCACCTCTTGAAAAGTGAATCATCTGAGATTTAGCAGCGGATAGCGATAGACCCAAACCCCCCAGGAAGGA